AAAAACATAGAAATAACTGCTATAATATTAATAGCAATAATCATAATAACAATAATATTATTATATGTATTAATAAAAATATTTAAATTTAGATAAATTTTTAAATGGATTTGACATATTTAAAACATATATTATCTAATCTAAAGAAAAATCCGAAAAGAACTTATACTGATAAATATATTAGCATAACTAAGAATTATATAAAACAAATTTGGTTAGAAATAGAAAGAAATACTGACATAAAATATTTACAATTAGTAAGAACGAAGTTTGACACAATAGTAGATGAAATAAATAAATATTTAAAAAACAAATCAGAACAGATTAGCGACAGTGCAATATCAAAACTTGATAAAATGGCTAATTTTGACATGTTAACAGCTTCAAAAATAATTCCTGAATTTAATGGAAATGTAAAGAGTCTATCTAACTTTACCGGTACTTTGCAATTCTACTCAGATTCGTTGAAGGATGAAGTAGAGAGAACTATTCTACTAAATTTTGTAAGATCAACTAAACTTTCTGATCGAGTTAAAAATAAATTGGTTGCAGGTGAAGAAGATGACACAATAAAAAATTTTATTAAGAAGCTAAACACAATTTACAAACCAAAAGCCAATCCCTTAATTATACAAAACAATCTTACTAGAATGCGTCAAGGCATACAAATGATTGCTCAATATGCTTTAAAAATAGAAGAACAAATAGCAATGCTTAATCAAATATACATTTCAGAGCAAGGAGATGAGAATAGAGATGTCATACTAAAGATGACAGATCAATTAGGCCTCAGTACATTCACAAATGGGTTGAATGAGAAGATAAGAAATGTGGTTATAGCAGCCAGGATATCGACATTATCTGAAGCCATACAGATTGCAACAGATGTTGAGACACAAAACAAAAGTCTGATGCAAAATGCATACAGAAACTTTAACTACAAATCAAACAACCAGGGATATAGATCAAGAAATGACAGAAGTCATGGAAACAATAACTCAATGAGGTTTCCAAACAAGTACAGCAATCAACGAAGCAACTATAATAGTCAAACAAGAAATTTCAATAATTTTCAACAAAAAAACGGGAACACCCCCGGTCACAATACCCCGGGGAACGTAAACTCAAATATCAACAAGAATGTTCGAAAGTATTAAATTTTACTTCGGCAAAAAACATTTCTAACTGTATAACAATAAAAACTTCAATTAGCAATAAGTTTATAACTTTACTAATAGATACGGGCGCCGAAACATCAATATTAAAGAGAGATTTATTAGAAAATAAAAATTTAAAAATAGATACTACAAAAAATTACAAATTAAATGGCATTTGTAATAGTAGAATATCTACAGAAGGATTACTAAAAACAAAATTATTTTTAGATGAGAAAAGTATATCTCATGAATTCAATATCGTTAAACCCAATATCAATCTGCCAACTGACGGCATATTAGGTAGAGATTTCTTATTAAAGCATAACTGCAAGATAGATTATGAAACATGTACATTAACGATGCCTTATCAGGAAGATGAAATAATCTTACCTATAAATATAAATACAAAAAATCTGGCATATATAACACTGCCCCCTAGAGCAGAAGTAGTTCAACCTATAAAATTAGATATAAATGAAGATAGTATAATTTGTGGTAAAGAAATAATGAAAGGAGTATTTATAGCTAATTCCGTAATACCAGGAATAGGTATAAAACACATTCGAATATTAAATACAAGAGAAACACCAGTAGTCACAAAAAATGCAAAAATAGAAATAAAAAAATTAGAAGATTATAACATATTAAATTATAACAGAGCGTCCCTATACGCTAATAGATTTGATAGAATAAAGAATTTATTGAAACTCCCATGTTTAGATCAAAAAGCAGAAAATTCGATATTAAATATTTGTGAAGACTTCCAGGAAATATTTCATTTAGAAGGAGAAACTCTAACAATTAATAATTTTTATGAGCAGCATATATCAACTACAGATAAAACACCAGTTTACATAAAAAATTACAGAACTCCGAATACGCAATTACACGAAGTGAATAAACAAGTAGATAAACTACTAAAAGAAGACATAGTAGAACCATCAACAAGTCCTTATAATTCACCAATCTTATTAGTTCCAAAAAAGAATAAAGATGGAGAAGAGAAATGGAGACTAGTAATTGATTTCAGACAACTTAATAAAAAAGTAGTAGATGATAAATTTCCACTAACTCGTTTAGAAGACGTTCTAGATAAATTAGGTAAAGCGAAATATTTTTCTACACTTGATATGACTAGTAGTTTTCATCAGATTCCACTTAACAATAAATCGAAACATTTAACTGCATTTTCAACCAATACAGGTCATTTTCATTTTAAAAGATTACCTTTTGGCTTAAAAATTTCAACTAATAGTTTTCAAAGAATGCTAACCTTAGCATTAACTGGTTTGGATTCGTCCGCATTTTTATATGTAGATGACATAATAATATTCGGTTCAAATTTAAAAAATCACAATGAAAATCTAATAAAAGTATTTAGTAGACTACAAGAACATAATCTTAAATTAAACCCTGAAAAATGTAATTTTTTACAACCAGAAGTTGTACATCTTGGACATTTAATAACAGCG